CTACAAATAAAATTGTGTTGTTTTCGTCTATCACGTTTTGGTCTAGTTTTGAAAAAGGGTGAAGAAGTGACCATGGGACTTCAAAATCAATTATACTAGCTGATTTCAATCAAATCTTCTTGTTTGAACGAAAAATACAGAAGTTGCTCTGAAACACTAACTGTAACACAGAATAATATAAAAGTTGTATCCAAAAGACGTTAAGGTTATGAACGGTTCTGCCATGGCACAGTATTAATTGGACGTAGGGAAGGAAACACAACTAGCTGTGTTTGATTGCCAGCACAAGCTTTCTGAAAATAATATCTGGGCTGCCCGAAACAATTTTGGACCAGACATTTAGATTTGTCAAATGAAAGTAATTATTATCGTATCTTGTCTTTCATACACACGTATATCATCTAGCAGATAACACAAATGACAATAAATAAACAATATTCACAAATACACAATGCCTTGTAGAAAAAGGTCAAATCATATGTTATATTTGGGATTAACCTTTCTCAGTACAGTGCAGATTGTTGTACTTTTTTGGGTTGAGTCCCATCAGGGATTCGAACCACACTCTCAAATAAGGTATCTTATCGCCAGCACACTAAGTTAGCCATCTAAACCTCTCAGTCACTGTGGCTTTCATAAAAATGGACCTTGAACAAACCGTCTCCGTGGTGTAGTGGTTAGAGCGTCCGCCCGGAGTGCGGAAGGTCGCGGGTTCGATCCCCGACCGCGTCATACCAAAAGACGTTAAAATATGGTACTTGTAGGTCCCTGCCTGGCGCTCGGCATTAATGGGTACAACAAGGACTGGGCGGCTTGGAGTCAGTATAATGTGTCTGCTTCACTGCGGCATGGTATCTCAGTGGGCTAGCACTATAAAACCAGCTTCAGTCTGGGCTAGTACAAGCAGCCGCACATACACATACACACGCATGCACGTCGTCATATGAGCGAAATATTCTCAAGCACGACGTTAAACCCAATTCCACCACCACCACCACCTTGAACAAAGACCACATTTCCTTTCCTCGTCAAATAACATCGACCTGAACAACATATGAAAAATTCAACTTCTTCACATCACGAGATGAGATAAACACGGTATTTGACACAGGATACGCCAAATATTCTCTGTATGATGTATTGTCCCCATGCTTCAGCCTCATCAACACATTATCAATGATGCAAACTGATAGTAGTTCAGGCCAAAATTTTCTTGACTCCAGTTAAATAATATGTTATGTCACCTCAGGGAAATATCGATTATATTTTTAATTAATTAATCTAAAAGTTTGGAGAATATATTGTCGTGCCATGGTGTCGTCTTTGATTCCCGGTGAAGCGAGCGTCAGAACACTGCACGTGGGTGGCGGGCGACTATATTTACAAGCATCGTGTCTTAATAAAGGTTGCCTCCTCGGCGGAAGTCTAATATTTGACGTTGTACAATCAATGTTTGGTACTTTATCTGGGACTTTTATCAAAGCCTGAAAGCGGATGTGCCATTTATCCATAGCAATAATACACTGTACACGTTAGTCTAGAAACGGCTGTACAGCTTTAGGGTAGACTAACGCTTGTCTCTAAATATAAATAATTTTAATGGAAACAAACAAATATTTTAAATTGGGAAGGAGCACCGGTGAGAAGGGAGATTCAATACCTGAGGAAATCTAGACCAGCTTCATTAAGGGCTTTAGCACTGCAGAAGGGACTGGGCAAAATGGAAAATAATGCGGTTTAGGGACTGTGTGACAGACTTAACTTACAGTGACAGAATTGGATGTTACACCGGTTTTAGCAAATCCCAATAGATCATGGCGGGGGACACCAGAAATGGGCTTCACACATAGTACCCATGTGGAGAATCGAACCCGGGTTTTCAGCTTTAACCATTAGACTACCAGACCGCCTCGTTTAGGGGAAGAGAAAAATTGGTGCTTAAAAATGGAAGTCAAAAAGAAGGAAAAGGGGAAACCGTCCATATTTAGATGACAAGATTTATTTAGTTAAAGGTCACCAAATGATTTAATGAATTGTTGTTGTTTTTATACGCCAGCGGGATTGGTTTGTTTTAAACAAGTTTAGATCAGCGTTGATATGATTTGATAACTGTGGTTATCACAATCGCTTTGTGGGGCAGTATTTATAGCCTGCTATCTCTCAACTGACATGACATGATAAATAATAACTCCACCTGTCAAGGGAAGAAAACAATCTAATTAACGATGACCCGGATATTCCGAGCCACACCTGGCGGAGGACACGTGGACCTGGCAATTTTGCGTAATGGGTATGACACGGTTTACAGTGCAGAACTATGTTAACAAATCGCTGGTTCTGCAATCTGTCATTGTTTCATAGCTGTTGACGACAAATTGAAAGAAATAAATATTTCAGATCTTCATGCAATATGCACCGTAGAACGGATGCGAATTAATACTGACATACATTATTCATAAACTGTTGTTGAATGCGGGCAGGTGATATTTAAGAAGAGGCATCTGAACAATTAGAAACCAGCCGTCATGTCAACCCAAAGATATAGCTTTGATACGAGGTTCCGTGACAAAGGCTTGAAATTATTCACTGACGATTAAATAAAGTGTCATTTTTCACTTCGATATTCGTATGCAATGTGATGTGTGTGACATGATTCATATGGCCTTGAGAACTATGAACTGAACTGAATTGAACTGAACTATACCGATATTCGATTCGCGCGAAAAAACATGGATGCCCATTCTGCGTGTCATGTATGATTGAATTCATGTCCAATGATGAACAGACGGTGCATCAAATGTCGATCTCAATCCCTAAAGTAACGACTGAAACACTGTAATATGCATACTGGCGGTCTGAAGTTGGGAGGCCCTTGGCTGGCATGTAGTCTCAGAAACAACGTTACGTCAATTAAATGTATACTCAACAACAAAAGTTAAGGACCACCCGAATTTTCAATTGTTGGCAATCTATAGCCTGTTTTTTGCATTGTCTTGTGATTTCTAGTTAAAATGTTTTAGATTTAATTCCTAGTTTCAAATGGATATCTGTGATACACTAGTAGTTTTACTGTTCTTCGTCAGCAGGCTTTTAAATTTCTAATTTTATTGATCTATAATATAATTATTAATTGTTCTCTTCACGATGTGGCTGAAATATTGCCGATGCGACGATAAATATTAACTCACTCACTCACTTAATATTGAGGTGAGGTGAGGTGAAATTGGGTTTTACGTCGTGCTTGAGAATATTTCGCTCACATGACGACGTGCATGCGTGTGTATGCATGCGTGTGTATGTGAATGTGCGGCTGCTTGTACTAGCCCAGACTTAAGCTGGTTTTATAGTGCTAGCCCACTGAGATACCATGCCGCAGTGAAGCATGAATACCCCACTCAGACACATTATACTGACTCTGAGCCGACCAGTCCTTGTTGCACCCATTAATAATTGAATATTCGGGGATCGGGACCTTGGTCCTAATATTAACATTTTCTTTTGTTGTTGAGTATATATCTAGAAAATAATATTACATTGGCTGTGGCAATCTAAACATGAGAAATTAATATTTCTTTTCTCTTTGGTCCGGGAGACTGAATAGCGAGTAAGTTGGCTTAGATTATAGTTTGGGACTTGGCTGTACCTGTGGTAATCTAGGACTTGAGATAGGCTCAGTTTGAAATTACTCTCTTTCGTCCGGAAACCGACTAGGGAGTCCACAATATGGCGAGTTGGCTCAGATAGATTATTGTTTGGAGCCTTCAGGCGATACAATATTATTTCAGCTTACTGTTTATTATCGGAGACAGAACAACAGCTATGTAAGACTACCTCTACAGTCAGTTAATCAGTTCCAGAGAACTACACACAAACAACCACTTTCACGTATTGTTATCCTATTGAAAAGTTCTGTAAACAGGATTTCAAGGTTCATCAAGCATTTTGGAGCCCAGGCGACACAGATCGCCCATCCACCCACGTGCCTTCTCCAAACCTAGTAAACTACACAATGCCTTATTTGGAGAAGAAACACAGGTCTGGGGGCAGTTTCAATTTTCAATGGAATGCCGACTTTTTAATAGAAAAGCGCGCAAAAGTGCTTCAAGGTCCGAGGTTAATGCTAAACAATAGGGTTGAGAGTTTACACAGTTCACCACGTGCCAATAGAGAGGCGAAACAACGCATATGTTGCCTTCATACCGAGGGCATGAGCTGTTTCGTCGTGTTTCAATATTCTGGTTATGCGGGGACTTCCTGCATCTGTGTCATGTTACCATGGTGACACAGTGATGGAACACGGTTTAACGCCAAAGGTTCAGAACACGCAGTGCAGTTCCGGGTGTAGAAGGGCAAGGTCAACGTGGTGCCGCGTTACATCCAGGAAAATATGAGACGGTTGACATTTGAAAACAAGGAAAACTGTTTGTTGACAGGGTTTCAGTGAGCGTGATCAAATGTTGGTAATGATGAACTGAAAAAAACAACAGACGTATCTTTTCCTCGGTGTCAGAACTATTGAATTTAGCCTTTTGTCGCTTCCCTGGACAAGCTGGTGTAGTTTTGTTGCATAAAATACAGGTTCCCAGAAACTGAGGATAGTTCGTGAGACAAAGGACAATGCGGAAATACAAGTGACTGGTTACGTCAGAAGGAAAATAGGAGACACATATGTGTCTGTTTACGAACATCTTTGTGATCCGTGTGAAGTTAATGGGGTGTTTCATTGTTGTTCGTGGGGAACATCTGTATGACCCCGACAGTGATATTGCTTAATGATGTTTCTAGTTTGCAAGGCAATGTTTTGTTTATGATAGGGCCTACTGAACGTTTGTACGGGGTTTTCTTCTTTTGTGTATGTGCGTTGTGCGTATGTAGAACCATTTTTGACATATGAACTGCATGATCTCTTAACTACATGAGCAGTTAATGGTTCCTGGTTAACGAAGGAAAACTAAACCCATACACCCTTCCATACAGAAGGAACTAGGAACGGTACTTACCGTGAACGGAAGGTGGTTGATGGCTGCGGTTGCGATGACAACAGCTAGAACCAGTCGACTCAAATCGGAAGAGAACGTCAACTCGTTGTATCTTGCGTGCACCGTCTGGGAACCAGTCTTGGCTACAGCTGACGTCGACGGAAGGTAGAAACGTCCAGCTTGATACTTGACCACGGCAACACGCCGCATGTACCGCAACAACACCAACGTATCCGACGTGCAGATCAGACACAACACGACGGAACAGAGGTTGAGGATGATGAAGAACAGAGCGAAACTAACACCAAGGTCATGCGGCAGAAAGACGCAGGTTCCTCTTTTGGAGGAGTATCCGTCGTCAGTTGCTCCAATAAGTGGCATGATGCCAATGACAGCCGCGAGTAACCACATGATGACCACGTAGACCTTCACGGCCTTGGTTGACCCGTAGACCTGCTTCCCCGACGGCAGCCGCAGCATGGTCATCCAGTGGACACACATACACAGGACGCTGAGGATCTCCGCCACCCTGACCGTCACGCTGACCCAGATGTAGCAGTAGCAAAGAGGCTGAGACCAGGGGATTCCCCTCAGGGTCATGACCCCTGGAATGGGGATGAGAAGGAGAACGTTTGCCATCAGGCAGGCGAGGAGGGACATGAGACACAGGTCGGTGCCGTGGAAAAAGGGTCTGTAGTGAGCGATGACGACCACGGCCACGACACACGTGAGCAGGGCGACCGGCGACAACACCATCCATGCGACCGCCACGCCGTACTCAACCATTGTCCGCGGACATCGACAACAGTCTCTGGGTCTGCATAGATGGAGATGTGGACTACACCGTTGTTGTCAAACCATGGAACATTATCTATCACGCGAGTGTCGAATCTCCGGATCATAGAATGCGCTTACACAATCAGCAGAAACAAACAAATATATTTAGATCCTGATCATCTTGGACACATTAGCATCGATACTTAAACAATCATTGATCGAGGTATATTTTCATTGATATACTCAGGTATATCTGTAAACCACGATGGAATGTTTCTATGATCATTACCTCTACTCAGCACAAGGGGTCAGGCCAACCACATCATCTGGTTCTACAGAACGCATCCAGTGTGAAAGCAGCTGTTGCCATCACGTGTTGACTGTAATGATTAATACTAATATCATCACGAAGTCTACAACACAGTAAGCTGGTGGGCGTTTACCCAACAGTGAGTACTAACACTCTCCACCGGCAGTAACAACACACGCTCCCCCGACAGAACCACCACACTCCAATATATGACACCCGGATGTCTAGATCTCCGGACAGATCAAGAAGATCCCGAAATTATTACACAAAATAGAGGATTTGGTATCAGTTGTAACCGCTTGTCTTACAATTACCTGAATCCAAAGCCAGAATACGATACTCCATATACTTGAAATTGAATCCCAGGATTCAGTATTTCCAATTTTGTCATCCCTTTATCTGATTCAAGGACACAATAGTGGTGTGTCTTCTGTATCCCTCTTCATCAGCTCTGATCCTTAATCTGAATGTCGTTATCTTGATGCTCATCCGGCTTTCACAATGGCATCAGACGCCACGCGATAGTAATCGGTTTAGATAGAGATGAATTGTTTTATCATATTGGTCGGAAAGTCATCTGATGGCTGTCATCTGATATTAGTGACGTTGTCTTACAGCCGTGCCATTACATAAGCATTAAAGTCACGACAGATCAACATGTAACACAGGGGTCGATGGAAGTCTTCTTTCCATTGCAAGTAAACTGGGATATGTCTGCAAACGACAGGTATCCAAGTCCAGGCTGTCGTCTGCTAGTTAGAGCAACTGTAATATCACTGCTATACTCTATCCCGAACTGAAAAATCAACTGTCGTCTGCTCTCCTTACTTTGAACTGTCGTCAGCTGTTAATGGATTGAACTGTCGTCTGCTACATTTAAGCCCAACACAGACAAACACGTGCAACGTTATCCACCTCCGTCGATTCCCTGCGGTCAACGTGTGTCCGGACTGACCACGTCACCGGACATTCCTCCCAAGTAGCATGGTCCAGCTAAGTCTATCTGGTCTCACCTGGCCGCCGTCTTTGATCTCGGCACCGGAGGTCACGTGTTGCACAAAAGCAAGGTGTTACAGCAGCTCGCACCTGCTGCTGAAGATGTTGCGGACTGCCCAGCTGAAACAATGTGTTGCTGCGGAAGTTGCTGTACAAATAACAACAGGAATGTACAGCAGTCACGATTTCCATTCAGTTTACGAATGACATGGTAAAATAGAAGCGTGGATTTCATCAAATCCTGAAATCCACAGAACTTTGGTCAAAAACAGGAACAAGTCATTTCTTACGTACCATTTCCAAAGACCAGGATGGGCGTGTCCATTTCTAGTCCTATATGGAAAGCTGACGGAGTTGTATATTTCCTCCCGGTGAATGAATCTGAATTACTCCCACATCTGTGCCACTATTACACAGTATATCCCACTCACCAGCGCGAGGTGAACACAGAGTCCAGTAAAATCGTCACATCAACCCCTGGAGTGTTCGACACTCAACTGACCACACGCGGCAGGCGGTCCACAGTGACTGCAAGGTCAACAAGCAGACGGGGGCACGCGAACACCGTGTTTACGGACGAAACAAAACAATTAGCGAAGCCTCTTTCCCCTTACAGCCACTGAACAACCTGAAACCCATTATAACCAGCGATCGATCTGGCTCCGTTTTGGCGACTTGTACATATATATTACCTCGCCCTTGAGCTTTGATACAATGCACTTCATAGACTAACGCTTAGTCCCTGAATATATATAATTTTGATAGTAACAAATAAACCCATTTAAACTGAAGAGGAGCCCCAGTGAGTTGGGAGATTCTGAATCTGGGGAAATCTAGTCTTGCTTCATTTAGGGCTCTAGCATTGCAGGGAGGGCTAGGCTGTAGGAAAAATCAGAGACCATATCGTCTCTGGGAAAATAATGTGGCGAGATTGTGAGACAGACAATGCCTTTCAGTGTGACGCGTGTTTATTCTTAAAATAAATGAGAAATATTTCAATAGGTTATTCGAGTCAAGCAAAAAGATAACGTAACTTCTCAGGGAGACATTTAGAAGTTGGAGTTACAGAGGAAGGATACAATATAAGGATGAACAACTTCCTTATTACAGTTGGTAATAATTCTGTTTTACAGTTAAAGGCGTTAACCCTTATTAAGACACGTGCATACTTCTATTTGTAATGAATAAGTTGTCCATCGACATATATTATACTTCCTTTGAGGGCAGCCTAGTGGTTAAAGCGTTGGCTCGTCACGCCGAAAAGAGCCGGGTTCGATTCCCCACATGGATACAATGTGTGAAGCCCATTTTTGGTGTCTCCCGCCGTGATATTGCTGGAATATTGCTAAAAGCGGCTTAAACCTAACTAACTCCTTCCTATAACGTACCATGTTTTACCATACTATGGTTATTTTTGTTTGATTGGCATTTACACTGGATATTTCATTTCATGTATTTTATTCACAGTTTCGTTATTGTGTTACCTTTATGCAATATCCAGGGGGTATTTATTCGAAAGTTCAGTTTATTTTTTCAAACGTAACATTGAAAACCCGTTTCCTGTTGAACAAACGCATGTTCACGTTCACCTGTTGAAACGTGGTGTTGAGATCAAGTCGCACAAACGCACCTGGAAAAGGTGAGCGAACAATAGCGTCGCGCATGTCCAATGAAATGCCCGTCATCTGCCGCGCTGAACACAGCCCCAACGTCTGAATGTTATTCACGTGTTGAGGTGGGGATCTCTGCAACACAGCGCTAAAAACCTTACGCGCCTTTCCCCTTCATACTGATCTGCTCTTATCATAGTCTTTAGCAGTAAATCGATTCATTCAACAAACTTCGACAGGCTTCTATCGGCAAAACCGTTTGTATTTCATGTATCTCGGTCAGGCCCGGTCTGTCGCCATACATTTATTGCTCTCTTAATTTTCGTATTACTTACAGATGTCTGCCCGTATCAGATCGTCAGTCATCCGTGACGTGTATACAAAGAAATACAAACGGGTGATAAATTAATTATGATGTTATTAAATGCTTCGTTTGGTTGTAGTAGTTTTTGGAAGAAGCCATGCCACCTTGAGCCGAAGTGTTGTGTTTCCTTAATGAGATTGAACGAGACGTGGACTGATGTTTTTGTGTTTGATGGGTGAAGCTGAATATATGGGATAAATCGTTATGGTAAATACCAAATATTTGTGCTGGTCGAGATGTGTCTATTGACCATATCATGTTGTTTATAGGGATAATTTTTCTTTCTTTTATTTTATTAACGATAGTCGTAGCTCTAAGACTGCTGTGAGAATTAGAGAATTGAGACTTTGTAATTGAGAATACATGTACACACATTTATTTATTTATTTATTTATTTATTTATTTATTTATTTATTTATTTATTTATTTATTTATTTATTTATTTATTTATTTATTTATTTATTTATTTATTTATTTATTTATTTATTTATTTATTTATTTATTTATTTATTTATTTATTTATTTATTTATTTATTTATTTATTTATTTTACCATGACATTTATGATAAGGAAATACACTCGGCTAAAACTTTCATTTTATCAAACCCCATTAAATTATCATTAAATGTCCGGATAGCCGGCTTTATAGTGCCAGCCCACTGAGATACCATGCAGCAGTTATACAAGCATACCCCACTCAGATATATTATTCTGAAAAAAATAGTCCCGTCCTTGTTTTATATTAAGACCATATTTTGATATTTTCTGGTATGATGGGCCGGGAATTGAACCATCGACCTTCCCCTCTCCGAGGGAAGCCACAAAAGATGTTCAATGTAATGTTCCATGAAATAGTTTCTGTAAACTCTTATTGTCACCTGTACCACATGATATACCACATTTATGAGATGGTAAAATAATGGTATCTTTGGCAGTTGATTGATACAACACAACAATTTTTAATATTACGCGTAGATCAACGCGTTACCAAAATTTTATCAATGGTTATGAAGTATTGATATAAACAACTGAAAGTAGAGAATGTGACAGAATACATACACAATGCACATTGTACCATGCCTAGTGAATTATAATCATTAAATGCTCTTATTAATGACTGAATCGAGAATTCAAGCACGACATTGCGTAATACTCGATTCGGATTGGCTGAGAGCTCATCAAAACCCTACCTAAATGGCAGTTTCAGGACCATCAATTAAAGCCCTGTCGCCGAAATACCTTACTTGTGCGTGCGACGTTAAATAAAGCAAATAACAACAAGCCAATTAAAGTGACCGATTGACCGCGTATGAATTCGTTGACCCTTTTGTCAGTCAGGAAAACAGAGTAGCTGTATCTTCTCATTTGAACATGACGTCACAGTACCATGTCTGCAGGTTGCGTTTCCGTTAAGGTGATGGCTTCTGGACATCTCTCATCGACCAGACCCAACGATACAACATAAGAGTAACTCTTCTTATATATAATTCATTGAACACCCCCAATTAATTTGAAAAGGGGCCCAAGTGAAGTAGATTCAGAACCTGAGGAAGATTTTGTTCCACTTTAGGTCCCAATTGCGTAGATCGATGTTCATGCTGCTGATCCCTGGATTGTCTGGTCCAGACTCGATTATTAACAGACCGCCGCCATATAGCTGGAATATTGCTGAGTGCGGCGTAAAACTAAACTCACTCACTCCATTTTAGGTTTCTGTATTACAGGGAGGACTTGGTGGAAGGTAAAATAATATCGTCCAGGGACTGTGAGACATACTCGTGTACTCGCGTTCGATATCTAAACCCTTGACGACTCTGGTGATGATCGCACGCTGACCCCGAGCCTGATCACCCTGTCCATTAAATCGCCTCTACAGTGGGGGTAGCCTTGTGGTTAAAGCGTCCCCTCGTCACGTCGAAGGCTCGGGTTCGATTCCCCCTCATGGGTACAATGTGTGAAGCCCATTTCTGGTGTCCCCCGCCGTGATATTGCTGGAATATTGTGGCGTAAAACCCAACTCACTCACTCACTCTTATTATAGATTCTAACCAAGAATCCCCATTGATTCTATATGATCGCCACCATCTGTGTGACATTGTTTTAACACCAGCTTATGTCAATGTCTCAATGATACATTATCAACACAGGGTCAGTGGTTTAAATATCGATATTTTAAACTTTAGCTCGGTATATATGAAAATATACGAACAGTGCTTTACGTTTGGCCATGTGTACACCAGCATTACTTCGTCCCATGTCTGCTTGTTGTATTTTCTCCAAGCTTAGTACTTGTGAACCTCTCATCAACTTCGTCATGATCACATTCTACTGTAGATGAAATTGTTTCAGTCAGATTTGTTCATGCAAAGTGTTTACTTGTTCGTTTTCGAAGTATGTAATGCTTCAAAACAGAAGCGATTTCTCGAATATTTTACGAGCGCTTGAAAAGGAATTCAGCTCTAAACCTTGAGTAAAGACTGCATCAGCAACATGGCTGCATCTCATTAACACATCATTCATTCATTCAGTCGCATGTTTGCTGACACAGAGCAAAGCCTCTGAGTAATTTGTTTGTTGTCTTTTTTTGTGTTATTTCTCCAGCAGTTTAGTACAACGAATAGATGGCATTGAATTAGTAACGAAACAGACACCAAACGTACATGTAAAGCGAAAGTGACAAGGGCTAAAAATGTGGCATTGTATTCAAGATTATTTCGTGCGTGCCTGTCTGTCTGTGCGCTTGTACTTGTCAGAATCTGTTACTATATCAGCTCTAATGACATGGTAACACCGTGTGCAGTACGGATACCTAGACTAACAACTAGTCTCTGAAATGAACATATTATACTGAAAAAAGTTCATAGTAAAAAATATATATATAATAAAAAGGAGCCCTGAGACTTTCTTCATTTTCCATGGAAACAGCACAAAAATAAAATTCATATCTGGGTCTAACCATCAAATTGCACATTTATGGATCATGCTTGATTTGTGTACCAAGTTTACCATGTCTACCAAGTCACGTTTCCATGGAAACCACAAAAAATAAAATTCATATCTGGGTCTAACCGTCACATGGCACATTTATGGATCATGCTTGATATGTGAACCAAGTTTGATTAAGCTAGCATGTATTATTTAGGAGATTTGCTTCGGACAAGATGACATTCTCATAGTCACAGCCTAAGTCATGTTTCCATGGAAACAACAAAAAATAACATTTATATCTGGGTCTAACCCAAAAGGCACATGTAGGGATCATGGTTGACATTTGTACCAAGTTTGGTTAAGCTATCATGAATAGTTTAGGAGATATGCGTGACGGACGCACGGACGGATGGAACTCGTTTCTATATTCCCGCAAATTCGTTATTGCGGAGGATAACAATATGCCATCAGATCCCCATGACAATGTCTTTTTAAAGTTTATGGATAAAGTCACAAATGCCTACATCGTTGAGGTACACTGCTTTGAGCCTAATGATTTATATTTCTCTGTTTGTCTCTTCATCATGTAAATCAAGGATGACACAACAATAACATAGCATGGCTTGTATTTTCTACTGACTTGTCTGAACAGGGAGAATTTCGAATGTCCTGGATGGAGAACAAAACAACACATTTTCACCACTTAAGTACTTTTCAATCATTGTATTCTGATTTGGACGAATGCTGTGTA